ATATATATATTATATATATATATATAAATTCTTCTTCTATTATGTGCGTCAATAATGTTAGAAAGAATACCCGATAAAATTATTAGGAAGAAATTGAAGATAAATACGAATCTTGAGTAGAAATATATACCTTTATATATAATTCTCATTTTGTCTATCATAATCAAATGGTATTTCTTTACATCCAGTTATTATTTAGTATTTAAAGTATAAGACACTAAAGTATAAAACATTATTATTATTTAATATATTATCGATTTTAATATTTAATTTTAAATTTACGTCTTACCTCTGCTATTATTTGCTGTTTATAAGTTGGATTATAATCTGTACTTAAAATTTGATAATTAGTATTATATATAATGAAACGTTTCTTACATATATTACTTACATATATTATTTGATTATTAAGTTCAAAATATATTTCTTTATAATATATATTCCTTAATATATTTCTTACATATCTAAATGTTTGCATAATTGAATTTTTACTGAAATATTATTCGCGTTGGGACATGTTTCCATTTAAATGAGAATGGGATACTTGACATATTTAGTGTAAAATTTGATGTGTATTTTTATGAAAGATGAAAATAATGTTTCTAATATTTATCAATGACATTCTTAATTTTTATTAGCCTAAACAAATGTTTCGTAGTACCAAAAGCTTGTGCTCACACTTGATTTTGTTTCGTTATATCCTAGTCATCATATCCTCCGTAATTGTATTTCCTATAGTTTTTAAATTTTTGTACTTTTTATATTTTTCAAACTTTCCGCACCTTCCGCATTTTCTGTACTTTCCGCACTTTCCGTACTTTCCGTACTTTCGGCACTTTCCTTAATTTCATCACTTTCAAATATGCCATGAAATCGGAACAAATGGGATTCTAAATTGTTAAATACATTTATGGTCTTTTCACAACGATTACAATATATTCTCCCATTCTTTATGGGAAGCTTGAAATACTTAGATAACCAGGAAGTTTTAACTTCTGAAATAGTTGAGTGTATTTGATTATGAAATTTATAGTGTTTGATTAAAATTTCTTCAAAATACGCATGCTGCAATACACTTTTACAAATATTGCATGTCGCAGTATATGGTTTGCCTCTTGTGAAAAATTGCCAGACTGAGTCAGATTTAACTTGTTCGTTTTTCCATTCTTCGTCTGCTTCTTTATTAGATATGCCATGTGCGTATAAGTGTGCTTTATGCATATTAGTTATGTTAGAAGTAAATAATGTATAACCAACGTTACATGTTTTACACCGTATTTTATTGCCTTCTTTTTTAAAATGTTCCCACACCCAACTGTCTTTTTCTGCCATTACGTCCGAATAGTATCAGAATCACAGAGCGAACTAAATATGTTATATCACTATGTCAGACGGAATACCCGACGAAACTATTTAGAAAAGATCGAAGGTCATAAATCTTAGCTAACATATAAATATTGATATATATTTCGAATATATGGCAAAGTCATTATTCCGTCTTTCGGAAAGAAAAACTGTGAAATTTCTTAATTTACCATTTATGAAAAATTAGCGAAAGAGCTTAACTTAATCAAAAGTTTATATGCTCAGTTGGCAATTCTA